GAAGAACTAAAGATGAAACAAGCAACAATGAACAACACAATAAATGAAATTAAAAGTACTCTAGATGGGATCAATAGCAGAATAACTGAGGCAGAAGAACGGATAAGTGACCTGGAAGATAAAATAGTGGAAATAACTACTGCAGAGCAGAATAAAGAAAAAAGAATGAAAAGAACTGAGGACAGTGTCAAAGACCTCTGGGACAACATTAAACGCACCAACATTCGAATTATAGGGGTTCCAGAAGAAGAAGAGAAAAAGAAAGGGACTGAGAAGATATTTGAAGAGATTATAGTTGAAAACTTCCCTAATATGGGAAAGGAAATAGTTAATCAAGTCCAGGAAGCACAGAGAGTCCCATACAGGATAAATCCAAGGAGAAATACGCCAAGACACATATTAATCAAACTGTCAAAAATTAAATACAAAGAAAGCATATTAAAAGCAGCAAGGGAAAAACAACAAATAACACACAAGGGAACCCCCATAAGGTTAACAGCTGATCTTTCAGCAGAAACTCTGCAAGCCAGAAGGGAGTGGCAGGACATATTGAAAGTGTTGAAGGAGAAAAACCTGCAACCAAGATTACTCTACCCAGCAAGGATCTCATTCAGATTTGATGGAGAAATTAAAACCTTTACAGACAAGCAAAAGCTGAGAGAGTTCAGCACCACCAAACCAGCTCTACAACAACTGCTAAAGGAACTTCTCTAGGCAAGAAACACAAAAGGAGGAAAAGACCTACAATAACAAACCCAAAACAATTAAGAAAATGGGAATGGGAACACACATATCGATAATTACCTTAAATGTAAATGGACTAAATGCTCCCACCAAAAGACACAGATTGGCTGAATGGATACAAAAACAAGACCCATATATTTGCTGTCTACAAGAGACCCACTTCAGACCTAGAGACACATACAGACTGAAAGTAAGGGGATGGAAAAAGGTATTTCATGCAAATGGAAACCAAAAGAAAGCTGGAGTAGCAATTCTCATATAAGTTTTATATATATATATATATATGTAGTTTGCTTGAGTGCAGTGTTTTTTGTTTTCTGTACTGAATTCATTAGCATGGGTCGGTATAAAATTTAGCATAGGTCAATATGTAATTTGTAAACTAATAAGGTCTTAAAAGTGAGGAATTAAGTCTTTTAAATTTAATTATTTATTGTAAAGAGCAGAATAGCATACATAAACAGGTGCCTAAGGAAAACTTGTATTCTAATATGGAACTCTCATGAACACCTTTTTTTTTTTTCTTCTAACGGTATGATAGTAGGCCATTTGATTATTTTTATGGCTTTAACTTTACAACAATGAAATATTCGTAAATTTTAAAAAGTATTTTTCTTTATTTGATGCGGGTGGGATACTGGAGAAATGAAAGGTCAAACACCTATTGAGGAATCCATACTTGTCTATATATTGTGTACTTTTATTTCAAGAACTGATTTAAAATTCCTAAAAGGATGCTATAATAAGTTATTATGCCATTTTACAGACTGAATTAAGTGAATTTCAGGGAGGTATGAAACTTGCCTAAGGCTATCCAGCTACCAAGCGGTAGAAGTGAGAATTAAATCCAGGTATACCTATCAAAAAAAAAAAAAAAACAAAAAAAAAACCATTATGCTATATATATGGAATCTAAAAAAAAAAAAAAAGTGGACATGAAGAACCTAGGGGCAAGACGGGAATAAAGACACAGACCTACTAGAGCATGGACTTGAGGATACAGGGAGGCGGAAGGGTAAGCTGGGAGAAAGTGAGAGAGTGGCATGGACATATATACACTACCAAATATAAAATAGATAGCTAGTGGGAAGCAGCCGCATAACACAGAGAGATCAGCTTGGTGCTTTGTGACCACCTAGAGGGCTGGGATAGGGAGGGTGGGAGGGAGGGAGACGCAAGAGGGAAGAGATATGGTGATATATGTATATGTATAACTGATTCACTTTGTTATAAAGCAGAAACTAACACACCATTGTAAAGCAATTATACTCCAATAAAGATGTTAAAAAAAAAATTATACAACTAGACTGTAGTTTAAAGAACCACAATTATTCTGAAATGGTTCAAAGACAAAAGGATGTAGTATGATACAATATAAAGAACACTATACCTGAAAGCAGGAAATCTACGCTTTCTGGATTCCTACCTCAGCCATGAATTACTTATGTAGCCAATTATTATTACCTGTGGGCCTAAAGTTTGTTCACTACAAATTAAATCACTGGACAAATCATTTTTCATTTCTTTCCTCCTTTTGCAATAAAATTCCTTTTTCTTATTAAAAAAAAAAAAAAAGATTTGTATTTTGAATAATTAAACATGAAATTGAAAAAAGATGACAAAGGAAACACAGAATAAAAACTGCATCTACAAAGGTGAATTACATATGAGACAAAATAGTCAACGAAGTAGCCTACCACACAAAGAAAACACCTATGCAAAAAGTTATTTTCCTACAGACAGTCAGTGGTCTGTGGAGCTGTGGGTTCTTGCAATGCAAACTGTGTTCTATAATTATAAGTGTCTGTTATATTTATGAGTTCACATGGGAAAGATTACATGGGAAAGAAAACATCATTTCTTTCCTTTCAGAATAAGATGCCTAAGACTTCCATTTCCCATGGTCTTGCTAACTGGAGTCTGATACTCAGGTCTGCTAACCACACCTTCCTGATCCATGGTTGGTCCAGGAAAGGCACTGCCAGTTTTGGTTTCTGTGACTTTTAAAATGCTTCTGCGACCTGCCACAATCCTCCTCACTGGCACATTAGTTTTCCTTTTTTTTTTTTTTTTTTTTAATATGTGTGTGGTACGCGGGCCTCTCACTGTTGTGGCCTCTCCCATTGCGGAGCACAGGCTCTGGACACGCAGGCCCAGCGGCCATGGCTCACCGGCCTAGATGCTCCGTGGCATGTGTGATCTTCCCGGACCAGGGCACGCACGAACCCATGTCCCCTGCATCGGCAGGCGGACTCTCAACCACTGCGCCACCAGGGAAGCCCAGTTTTCCTTGTTGCATTAATGTCTTTGACAGTTACAGTCCAGTCTTCTAAGATTCTCCCATAATACATTCTTAATGTTGTTTTTTTCTTGATGATTACCTTTAAAAAGTTAATATAAGTCTATCCTGGATCCTATGAATGAATATCTTGGAACTAAGTATTGATATTTCATTTTTATATCTTTATCTGTGTTCTGCCTTTGACCGTGTTGGGACTTTAACTGTTATGGGCTAATGAAAAAAGGACAGAGATAGACCTAAGACAAAAAATGCTTTGGGGGGCAAGTAAAGGCCAAATACCATCATGGTACTTATACTAATGAAGAGTTCATAGTAATTTGAATAGAAAATGAGGCAAGAAAATTGAAGTGCCATGTGGTATACAGCAGTATAGATGTCTTGAATTTCAAAGAACCAGTCCTGTAAGAGTAGTCAATGCCATATTCATGTTGTAGGCAATAGAGTTTCAGCAAAAAGGCTATGCATTGTATTAAGGTTGTTAATTTGAAGTTTTTATATTTAATTTGTAAATTTGATTTTTAAATAATTTATAAGAAATATATACGTGTGTACTTATATGAAGTTTACTCAGGTTTATACATTAAATAACATTATAATAAAAGTAACTTAAGTCAGCACTGGGATCAGAAAATTTAGTTCTTTACAGATTGTCAATATTTTATTCAAGTTTGAGAAACCTGTTTCACATCAGACCTGACATCCACCACTGGAATTATGCCATAGACATGGCACTTGTAACTATTTGTTTTACTGTTGGGAGCTCTGATGATTAGAAAGTTCAAGTTTCTTTGCTTGCTGAAATTACATTTCCTATAAGTTCCAACCATTGGTAATAGTTATACTCAGCAACAAATCAAGTTGGCTCTCTTTTTGTTGGAACTGTAAGTAATAGGAGAATAACTATCATGCTTTTCCCTAGTGTTGCTTCCACACATATTTTTGAAAATCTACTTGGGACAAAACATTGTGCATTAGCCATTGTTTTTGAATTTCTAGGTTAAACAGCTACACTCCTTTCAATCTTTCCTTGAAAGTTTTTTCTTCTCCCCTAATTATAGTAATTTATATATACTCTAGCAATGTCCCTCTTACAATGTGGCACCTAAAAATAAACACATAGAAAACAGAGAATTTATTGACTATCACCAATAATAATGAATAGGAATTATTAAACTCAACAATGTATTAGGCACCAAGAGGCACACTATTCTTGCCAAGAGTTTTGGATCTAGTTGGAAATGCACATTACAATTTTACATACTATTAAATATAAAAATAAACATTGTAGGAGTTTAGAGGTCAGAAATCTGAGTCCTAGAGCTGTTACTGGATGTTTCTAGGTTCTAACAAGGGTTAGGTCTTCAAAGATATATTGGGTCTGAATACACCCTGTGTAAACAAGCACCCAAGTACTTTGATTAAAGTAGACCATATATTTGTAAGTCCTTCCTCCACTCTTTATAACGGAAAGAGGAAATCTTTGCTTGAGATAGCAAATACATGATTAAATCTACACGTTTTGGAAGGGGCCCTGAAATTTAAACTTGTTAAAACTCTAATTCCTGTGATTGTTCCCTGGTTAACCAACCTCCAGCCAGTGAAAGTTGTGATAATTCTTTTTGAACTGCATTTCCTTTTGGACTGATTTTAGAAATAGCTCAGGCTCAAAAGACAGTTTCTTATTTTCTTTAAAAAACAACAACAAAAAACAAACAAGAAACAAACCACCGCTAACACTGGAAGAACACAGGAAGTCTGGTATGTAATCAAATAGGCGGCGTTCCCGGAATTCTATTTACACTCAAGAAGATGGTGGGCTCCCTTTGCACATGCGCAAAGAACGCTTGGAGGGGCGGGCAGTTCCGCTGCGTGAGGTCGCGCTCCCGGCAGGGATTGGCGGAGCCAGGGCTGAGAGGCGGAACCGGAAGAGCCTGTGTTGTGCGGCTCCGCAAATTCAGTGCCGGAGTCGTCCCAGCTCCCAGTTTTCAGCATTTGGTGTAGCTCTTGGCCGGCGGTGTCATGGGGGAAGCGGAGAAGTTTCACTACATCTACAGTTGTGACCTGGACATCAACGTGCAGCTTAAAATGTAAGAGAATTTGGGGACCGGGACTGGGATTGCTGAGCTTCAGGGGCGGGGAGGCAGGGGCCTATGGGTTGGGGAGAGAAGATGCTTATTAGCTTGATGGTCGGCCTGCGGACGGCCCGGAAGGCTGAAGCCAGGGAAACAGAGGTGAACGGGAGTTTGGAGAGGGGCCGTGTGCGCGGACTGAGGACGTGGTCTCAGTGAGCAGGACAGCTGTAGGAATAAATTCGTAAGTCCCACAGGGTTTATTTTGAAGAAAGCGTTTTGCTGTTCACTGCAACCTTTTGTGGGATTATTACTGCCTCATCTTACAGATAAAGAAATTAAGTCTTGGTTAAATCGTCGTCCTGCCGTTAATAATTGGAAGATCTTACTTTAAAACGGGGCTGGAAGGTGGAATAGAGACTGAAGAAATTATGAAGAGGTAGATACAGGCAGATAAGGTAGCTGAGCACATGGAGGTAGTACTAAAAACACGAGAGGTGATAGAGGATTAGGTTGAGTCTTACGACAGTCTGGCATTGCTTAGCCAGGGAAGTTGGGAGTCAGTCAAAGATGAGGAGGGCTCCAGGTGTAAAGGGACTAGAATATATAAGAGAGCCTTGCAGGAAAATCTTGGTATACCACAGTTGAAGTAAAGGTCCAGGGCATGACATCTTGAGATGAGAATAATGGAACTGAGATGGGGAACAGGTAGCACCAAGTTGGAAATTATGTCCATTGGCAGTCTCATAGATGTATTTTCATATGTGAAAACTATTATAAATTATCACAGATTATTAATCCCAACATCATTCATCATATGTTTTAATCAGTATTCAACAAATGTGCCTCAGACATAGGGCTACATACCTGTAGTAAATACATTTTCTGAGTCATTAGACGCTCCTTTGAATGATTGTTTCCAGAAGTTACTTACTTCAGACTCTGACAAGTCCTTTACTGTTCATTTCGTGGTGGTAAGAATAATATGCCAAACTGTACCTTTGTATAATACTTTACACGCCCATTTAAAGTAATTTTATAGCATACACCAGTAGATGTTTATACAGGACCTGTATTGCCATCATCTGGTAAAGGACTTTCCTTCAGTCTTATTCCTCTCAGTATTTCTTGGACATATGAATGTTTTTTTTTTTTTTTTTGAAACATTTGAACATTAAAAGGAAAGAAGAAAATTTTTTTTTTAAAATTTGTCCATTATTAACAGACACACATTGAGTATTTTGAGGAAAAGATAAAGCATAAATTAGAAGTTTGGCAAAATTCAGTACAAACCACCTTTTAGCGTCTGAGACTAGTTTTGGGGAGGGCAGGAAGTATCAGTTTAGAATCATATAGTTAGAGAATAGTAAATTTTAAAATTCTGTTTATTTTCCCCAGGCCGTTTCATCTGTGTCTGTGGTTTTAATAAAACTTGCACTTTGATGTCTCTTTTCTTAGTGCCATAGTTGAATATCAAACTGCCCACAAGACATGGTCACTTTGGATGTCCCAAAGCACTTCAAAAGCAGCTTGTCCAAAATGGAGCACATCATTAGCATGCCCTCTAACTCGTATCTTCTCTCACCCTATTTTGGTGATTGTTAGCATCATTCATTGATTTTGGTTAAGACAGGAAAGAAGTCATACGGATTCACACAGACAGCCCCTCTCACCTTCTCTGTTTAATCCTTTACAAGTTGTCTTGAATCTACCTGCTCAGTATCTTTGATCCATGCCCCCTTTAAACCCCATTGCCCTAGCCTTAGTCTACCCTTTTCCTTTTAATTTTGATTGAAAGTCTTCCAACTGATCTTGCTTTCAGTCCCACCTATCCATTACTTTCTTATACTCCTGCCAAAGTATCATAAACACAAATCTGATTATATTTCTCTCAATTCAAATTGTTCAGTTAACAGGTTTTTGAATTTTCATTTTGCGTGAGGCACTGTACTGAATTTGATGGCTACTTGGCTTCATTGCCCCCCCTACACTTCATTCTCATCTCTAGCTTCTTCTCCACATGAGCTTTATGCTTTAGCTATACCAACCTGTAGTTCGTCAGACACACTATCTTGCCTTTTTTCAGTTGTATATGCTGTTCTTTTATTCTGGGATGACTCTCTGCCTCTGGCTCTCATCTTTCATATATTGTTCAGGCTCATTTCAGGCATCTATCTGGGTTACGAGCCCTACCTCCAAGCCACGTTAGGTGCTCCTGAGACTTTCTGATATATCTTTTGGTAATGGGAAGAACATTGGCTTTGGCTTCCTCTGTCCTGGTTTTTATTCTCAGCTCTGTTACTTACTTTGTGATCTTGGATAATAAGCTTGGTCTCTGAGTCTGCTTCATGTTTTATAACATGGTAATATGGTGAAAAGTAAGTAAGAAAGTCTCTATAAAATGCCTGGCACAATATATGATGTAATCTTGATTTCCAAGTAATGTTCCTACCTCTTTTATAATTTTATGCATATCTTTTACTACTTAAAACACTGTATTTCTTAATTTAAAGAACTGATTAGATATCTACATAGTAAAAAAAAAAATGAAAGCATAAAAAAATATGCATTAAAAGTAAGTTTTCTCCCTAGAGCAAGGACTTAATATTTTCCTGTAACACTGTATTGTTTATCTTGTCTTTCATTTCTGGACTTCTGTGCTTAGTACAGTAAATGTTGTTGAAAGACTACAGGAATAAGTGGTCAACTTGAGGTTAATAAAATGAAACTAATGCTTGGAAAGCTGGTGACATCTAGAAGGTAGACACAAGAGTTGATGACAGGGTTTAAAATTAAGAAGCCTAAAATAAAGAAATATGTTGATGAAGTTAAGAATGATCTTAGGCATGTTAGTATTTTAGGAGACCTTTAGTAAATGAAAAAATGACTTTAATTTCATCTATAGGAAAATGTTCAGGTAGCATAAGGTTACTGTGACATAATCATAAGCTCTTAGTATTTGTTGTGTTTGTCTTTTAAAAATGTGTCTAAACATTATTGCTTTTATGCTTTCAGAGGAAGTTTGGAAGGGAAGAGAGAACAAAAGAGTTATAAAGCTGTTCTAGAAGACCCAATGTTGAAGTTTTCAGGACTGTACCAAGAAACATGTTCTGACCTCTATGTTACTTGCCAAGTTTTTGCAGAAGGGAAGCCTCTGGCCTTGCCAGTGAGAACATCCTACAAAGCATTTAGTACGAGATGGAAGTAAGTTATTTTCTTGAATATGGTGGGTTCCAGACTATTCTCCCATTTGTTTATAGATGTTGAAAGTATTATTTGGGATTACAGAGGAATTAAATTCTTTATTTAATACCTATAAGCAGTGATCGAATAGTTTAAAGTAGGAACCTACTCAGATAAAGTAGGTGGAAGTGAGGTGGAAGTGAATTTATTTGCCTAATTGAGGTGGAAGTGAATTTATGTTTGTATTGAGTATATTGACATATTTTTATGAGAACTTGACTGATTCACAAAATGACCCAAACCAAAAACACGTCTCTAAATTTGCTCCCATTCTACGCCCTTGAACACAGAAACACTTTTGGATTGTCTGAGAATGTTGTCTAAGCTAATGTTTGGAACTCAGATCTTTAGAGAGAGATATGTTGTCATCTGTTTGGATCAGTTGTTTATGTTAAATGTGAAACTAACTTTTTTTTTAAGTTTATTAAGCATGCTGCATTAGCAAGCCATTGTTGGAATTCGAGGTAAATGTAATGAACATGAAGTTCCCGTTTATCCAGGATAGTATTGTAGGTCCTTAATATAATCTCTTGACACTTCTTATTTGATAGATTGTGTGGTGTAGTTTTAATGTTTGATTCGTGAGTATTATTCAGTACCCTGGTAGGCTTGGTACAGGATACACAGGTTGTGTGCCTCTCAGTGAAGGAGTTTATGCCCACAGTATTCATGGAGGACAGGATGTGGCCACATGGACTCCCAGGCGGTACTGTTGAGGATACAACCCTTTGTTTACCAAGTGTGGCCCAGCAGACTGGGAAAAGTTTTGTGGAGAGATCAGAAGCCTAAGCTCTGATGATCTGGCTACACTGAAACCAACTGTTTTAATGGTGTAATTTCTTTAGTAGTCTTTTTGTGGCTAGATATATATACACACGAGTATATATATGTATTTGTACTTATTATTCTGGAAAATTTCAAACCTGTAAAAGTAGAGAGAATAATATAATGAACTTCCAGGGCTCCCTCACCTACCTTCAGTAATTACTTACTCAGGCCAGTCTTGTTTCAGCTATACCCAATGTTATTTTGAAGCAAATTCCAAATATTATATCATCTTAACTTAAATATTTCTTTATGTCTGTAACATAGCTACATATCATCATTACACCTAAAACAACCCACCAAAACTCCTATAATTGTATCAGAGGTTCTTAAACTGGAATCAGGAAATCTACAAAACCCTGAAATTGTATGCAGAATTTTTTTGTGTCTTGCGCATTTTTACGGGGACAGAGCTCAAAGCTTTTATTAGACTTTTTGAGGTGGCTTGTGACCCCCCCAAAAGATTTAGAACCACAAATTTAGGTCTAGGAAGTCAACATTTATGGAGAATTCCACTTTTCTTGGGGGAAATTGTATGGTGGTTTTGTTCCATGCCTTGGCAATAAAAGAGATTAGAGCAAAAGCAAATTCCCAGTTATAGGGAGATGAACATCTTTCTCCTCTTCCTCCCATTTACCAGCTCCTCTCTGCATTGTTTATGTATTTTCAAGGATATAAAAACTTTCATATTTGCTCTCTCAAGGTTTGAGGTTTTTAGTTTATATATTTTTTTAATTGTGAAACTAACAAAGTACTCTAAAATAATTAGAATGGCTTTATTTTTTAATTAAAAGGTTTAAAACAGCTGTGTAGAAGATAGATTGAGAAAATACCTTACGTTGGGTAAATATATGAGGATAGGTTTTTATCTTTTTTTAAAATTAATTAATTTATTTATTTTTGGCTGCATTGGGTCTTCGTTTCTGTGTGTGGGCTTTCTCTAGTTGTGGTTAGCAGGGCTACTCTTCGTTGTGGTGCACGGGCTTCTCATTGTGGTAGCTTCTCTTATTGCGGAGCACAGGCTCTAGGCACGCGGGCTTCAGTAGTTGTGGCTTGCGGGCTCTAGAGCGCAGGCTCAGTAGTTGTGGTGCACAGACTTATTTGCTCCACGGTATGTGGGATCTCCCTGGACCAGTGCTCGAACCCTTGTCCCCTGCATTAGCAGGTGGATTCTTAATCACTGCACCACCAGGGAAGTCCCTATCTTCTTTTAAATATACTCTTTGGGCTTAAGGGAAACATTTGCAGATTTTGTACATCCTGCTCTTTAGTATTTAAGAGTTGAAGTTTTTACCAATTCATCAAAACAAAAATAGCACTTCTAAAATAAATAAGAGCAAACTTTATACAGCCCTTATTTTCTATAAGCACTGACTTAAAAGAAGATTCTGTAGACTGGGGGGGGGAAATAAATTATACCACAAAAGGATCTCTTGCTATCTTAATTTTTGCACTTCAGAAAGTATTTTGGGGTAGTATGAGATTCCAAATTGTCTAAATCTATTTCTGAGTTTCTGATAGTGAGTTGTGAGAGTTCAAATAATGAGAAGCTCATCCAAAATTCATCCGAATCTCTTCTACCATATTCTATTCTATCCTGTCCTATAATAAGAGAGCCCATGAGGAGGAAACCTATACTTTCTTTAGTTACACTTAGGGTAAAATTATCATCTTTAGGTGTGAAATACTGCAAATTTTTAAGTTATATATATGAATATTATTCTGCAGGCAAGTGGTTTAATTTTTTTTTTAATTTATGTTTTGTCTTGTCACATGGAGGATTTGAAATGGCTTTAGACATAGACTATCTAATATAATTTTAAAGTTAGAAAGTTAGGATTTAGGAGTGCATTAATCACACTAGAGAATTAGTACACTGGTGTATGGGTGTGGGGTACGTGGTGGGAAGTCATACCATCCAGAATCAAGCTTTAGAATCCTGGAATATTTTGAAAGTTGCCAGGTGAATTTAAGCCTAATTAGAGTTGGGGCATGAAGAAGGGATGATTCATGGGAAGGGAGAGAACAAAATGGTGTTCAAAATACACAGTTCTTTGATATCTGACCAGATCTTTTCATAATTTCTAGAATATCTTGAGTAGTTTTCAAACTATTTTTTAGCTGCAGATTCATTTTCTTCAAAAGAAATCTTCTGCAGAAGCCCAGTATGTAAAACAGGTAAAGTGTTTTTGCTTTAATTTAAAGAGGTATGGGGGTCAGGTGTTGGATGGCAAAAGGTTTGAGGCAAATGATTGCTTGCTCTCATGTATTCTCCTAGTCAAAGGACAGAATATAAGGATGAGTATTTTCACAGCTCATTTTGGATATTGTTACTGACTTTTCTCTTTAACTTTAGCCTGTGTTAACTAATCTTTGTGGTTTGTTCATTGGCATAAGGTTACACTGCTTAGTATTTACCTTTTTATTCTGGCCTACCATGTGAATAGTAATTAAATAAATTCATTTAGTTTCTTAAGCTTGTCTGTAGGGGAGAAAGGCTTTTTAAACATGTATTTTATTTCTTTAAGAACTTCATAGAATAAAAGGATTTAATGATGTTTAGAGTCTCCTTTAAATCGAAAGCCATCTCTAATTTTCCTGTAGGTTCTTGAATTTATATGGTGGATGTAAATGTTTTGTTCTTTAATAAGTTCGTGAAATTCTGTTCAGTTTCTTACTGATGCAGGTGTATTTGACCTAGACTGGGATATGCCCTTTGAGAATAATTTTGAGTAAACAGAGAGAAGCAGTTCTGTGTGTCTGCTGGGTATTACTTTGTGTGTTGTTTGCATAGTTTTCTTTTGGGATTTTAAAAGCCATCTGTTGTTTAAGGAAGTTGAGATGATCAGATAAATCCAGTGTTAAGTTTGAATGCAGAAGAAAATTTGCAGAGGTGAATAGAGAGTAAAAAAAATGGGAGAACTGTGCTGTCATTACTGTTAGTAAGAACAAACATTCCTTAGTGAAATCATATGTAAAAATATGCTTTGAAAGCATTAAAAAAATAGCTAAGCATTATTGGTATTTATGAAATAACTTGAGTGGAAGAAAAATCTCATGTAAAAAGTTGTCACATATCTGTCCAGAGCAGTCTAGTAACTTCATGTTACAAAGTTAGTGGATGGTCTCCTTTGATCTCTTTAAAATTTTGTTTTTTTTCTGCTTTATTGAGATACTGATGTATATTATAGGACCATGTTATACCTAGCAGCATTTTGAGTATAATATGAGTAATTCTGATTTCTTTCTTTTCTTAATAAAAAACTGTTCTGGAGAGTGCTTACAGAAAAAAAAAAATCACAGTTTAGTTCTAAAACAACTTTGGTTCTAATAGGTTTATGTGTTTTCCCAGATTTTTATTAGCTATTATTATATTCTTTGTGTCTTAGTGATATCATCTGTTTCTCTTTTCTTCATTGAAGTATAGTTGATTTACAGTATTGTGTTGGTTTCAGGTATATAGCAAAGGGATTCTGTTATACATATATATGTATATATCTTTTTTCTTATTCTTTTCCATTGTATTTTATTACAAGATATTGATTATAGTTCCCTATGCTATACAGTAAATCCTTGATGTCTGAGTTTCTTGATTAAAGAATTTACCAGTGTTATTTTTCATGAGCTTTGTTTTTCAGAATATTTTTTTTCATGTGTTCTATAGGTATATCTTGGAGATATTGCAGGTTCAGGTCTAGATCACCACAATAAAGCGAGTATTGCAATAAAGCAATTTTTTTGGTTTTCCAATGCATATGAAAGTTATCTTTATACTGTAGTCTATTAGGTGTGCAATAGCATTGTGTCTAAACACAGTGTACATACCTTAATTAAAAATTACTTTATTGCTAAAAAATTCTATCATCTGAGCCTTCAGCGAGTCATAGTAGTAACATCTAACATCAAAGATCACTTACAACAGATCACCATAAAAAATATATTAATAATGAAAACGTTTGAAATATTGAAAGAATTACCAAAATGGGATAGAGAGACACAAAATGAGCAAAAGCTGTTGGAAAAATGGTACCCATAGACTTGTTAGATGCAGAGTTGCCATAAACCTCAATTTGTAAAAAATGCAATATCTGCAAAGCCCAATAAAGTGAAGTGAAATAAAATGCAGATATGCCTGTATTTAAAATTGAAGTTGCGTAGAGCAAAATTGAGGTAAGTGCCACGTTATTTTTTGTACTACTAACTTAATCTTTTGACATTTTCTCTGGACAAACCTTCTTGTATGGTTTGTTAACTTAAAAGAAAGTTATACACGTATGTTTATGTTGACTTTCTTTCCTTAGCTTTATGTTTTTGTTGACTTTATTTCCATAGCTGGAATGAATGGCTAAAACTGCCTGTGAAATACCCTGACCTGCCCAGGAATGCGCAAGTGGCCCTGACTATATGGGATGTGTATGGACCAGGAAAGGCAGTGCCTGTGGGAGGAACAACAGTTTCACTGTTTGGAAAATACGGGTAAGCGTTTTCTTTTCCTATGGAAATGTTGTTGCTTTCTGGCCCTTTTCTTTCTTGACCTTAATAGTTTATGCCCAGTCTGGTTCTCTGTGCTAGGAAGTGAAACCTATTGGATACATATTGGATACATATGATTCTGTAGTACTTGAGGCTGAAGTTGACACATATTTCCTTCAGGAGATGCAGATAGATTAATTAAAAAACACAGTTTGTATTTCTCTACTGTTAATGATTGGTAATGTGATTTCTATTAGGAAATAGTCATTGGAAACTAGAACCTTATTTTTAGGAAAAAAAGGCTATTTGTCATATACTGTAACTGCTTTGTTATAGGGTTTTTCTGCTTTGTCATAATAGTGACAAAAAGGACAATAAACAGGGTTTAAAAAGTACTAAAGCACTAATTTGCTGTAATGGTAATGATTATAATAGGAAAGTTAATTTTGTTTTTAAAAATTTACAGATAATAGAAGTTAATTGTAAAACAAAAACAAAAACATGATAGTCCTTTAGGGTGTTTTTTCTCTATCCCTTTTCTCCTGAGCAGAGAGATCACTCTTCATCTTAAGAAAATTGTTGACATTCTATTCTTTCTATGTTTATTAATTGGAACTTTTCTCTAAAAAACTTGGTCTTTCATCATATATTGAGTTACCTTGGTATACAGTTCATATAGGAAAGGCAGATTAATGTTTAATTTTTTTTCCCCTTTAACAATTTTAAGAATGAATTGGTTGGTGCCTTGGTAACCTTGAAAGTGACGATTGATGGTTTTTTGGTTTTTTGTTCTTAAGTTTCATCATGAACTTTTAAACAGTTTTGAAATGTTTCAATCCATTGTTCTTTTTATTCTTTATAATTCTTAAAAATTCCAATTTTTGGTCAGTAGGAGCCCCTTCAAGTTGATCCCATGTTCTTTTGACAGTATAGCACACCAGTAGTCATTGGTAGCTTCTTTACTTTCTGGAGACAAGCTATTCCAGGCTCATTGGGAAATTTCCTGCCCCAGACCTGGACTCTCTGAAAGAAGTCCTAGCTCCTTTAGGTATCAAATGGTAGAGACCATAATCTAGGTATTATCAAACTTCTTAATTTTTGCCCATTTTAAAATTGAAAAATATTATCTCCTAAATTAATTTTCACATCATTAAATATGAGTGAAGATGATTGTATTGTGATATTTCCCTTTACATTTGTGTTTATGTTCCTGTGAATTGCTTTTTCATATCCTTTGCCCATTTTTTAAAATTGAGGTATAATTCACATACCATAAAATTCTTTGTCTTTTTTTTTTGAGTTGTCATTTTTCTTATTAATTTGTAAGGGGTCTTTGTAGATTAGTAAAATTAGCCCTTTGTGTGTTACATGTTACACATATTGTTTTTCCTGTTTGACATTTTCTTTTGAATTATATATTTGTTTGTTGCTTATTTACTTGCAGCTCATGAATCTTAAATTATGATGTTGAATTTATCAGTTTTTTATAAACCAGTGGGGGTTAGGAAGGCAGGTAGAACTAGATTGTCTGGGTTTAAAACCTGGTTCTTTTGCTTATTATCTGTGTACCCTTGGGCAAGTTATTTAATCTCTTTATGCCTCAGTTTCCTTATCTGTAAAATGAGATATTAGTATTTACCTCACAGAGTAGTTGATGATGATAAATTACTAAAGACATGTAATGAGCTTAATAAGTGCTCAGTAAATATTAGCTGTCATTATTTCTGAACTATTCTTGTTAGTTTTGAATACTATTAATTATAAAATGTTTTAATATTAGAGACGGATAATCTTCCTCATTCGTAGTCCTTTCAGAATTTCTCTGGATAGTCTCTATATTTTATCAGATAAATATTAATATTATTTCCTCAGTTAAAAAAAAAAGCTCATTCTTATTTTGTTGGGAAACTGTATTGAATTATATATGTGAATTACAGAGAGAATTGATATCCTTATAATATTGAATTTTTCTGTTCAGGATAGGATGTCTCAGAAAAGCTTCAACTCATGAATAAAATGTAGATGTAATTTCATTGAGAATAGCTTGATTGTTTAGTAATGTGTAGGTATTTTACTTTAATGTATCTATTAAAGAAACATTTATTATTGAAATCCATGCAGGAACAATAATTTAGACATAGTCTGAGACATCGTGGCCTCCAGTTTTAAATATGTTTTTTGATAAAATGGCAGGTTATAGTAGAATGGACATATTACAAAATCAGTATGTTTCTTTTCTGGAATGTTTGTACCTTTTTACTTTCTCTACCAGGGTGGAATTTGCTTGCCATATAGAAAAAAAATGCACAACAGATTATTACTCTTACTGTAGTCTTAGTGGTTAAATCTTCTTGAGAAACAGCCAGATAGACCTCTTGGTTTTTCTTCCTGGCCTCTTCATTAGTGGTTTACCTTCTGAAATAACAGCGGGAGTTTCCCTCATGAAAACACCTCTTTTAACACTCATATATCGATACATTTTCATTGACCTTAGGATGTAGTTTCAGGAGACAATCTGACTAGACTATAGGTGTGAGACAATAGAAATTTCCATAGAAGTACAGTGAAATGACCTGCCTACAGCCAAATCAATTCTCAGATTGACATTTGTGACACGGTTTTACTTGGCCTTTGACAAGTTTTTATAAAGTACGTGAAATCAGTAGTAATCATTGTGTGTACGTGTATGTATAATAACTCATGTTAGATCACCTACTGTTCCCTCTAGGCTGATGCTTATAGTGACCTGCACCTCAGAAAAAGGAAATCTGAGAAGCCCTATGAAATTAAAATAACTCCTTTTTCTCTCTGTGTCCTGGGGCCTTCCCTTGAAGGCTAACTGGGATGCAGTGGAGACAAGCCGAGGCATTCCCTCGCAAGATACTGGACTTCCTGTGCACCTTTGGATTGTGGAAGAATATGATATTCAGGATGTTCCAGGTGCTATAGCAGAGTGCAGACATCCACTTGTACTGCTGGGTCACAGCTGCTTCTCTGCATGGTGTTGCTGACATTCATGGTGAGAAAGTAGCATGAGTCTTCTGTGTGATCTCAGGAGGAAGCCTGTGCAAATTTTTTTCCACCTACCATTAAAAATCATGTCATGTGCCACCACAGTTCTCATGACTTAGGGAAATGCTGCTTTAGACCTTCATTTCGTCAAATGTTTCTTAGGCAATGAAATAAATAACACCAGTTGTACCGCACCTTGTTCCTTAAATAGTCCTGGTATGGACTTATTAGCTATTTAAAAGTGGTCCTCAAAGTGTGTAATAGCTGTGTTATAGTATCGGGAGTCCTGTGACTACCAACTCTTGCTGTTTGCTAATACCTGTTTTGTATTCTTGAGTCAGTGTGAAGCAGTGCTTCTTGGAGGATAGTGTAGTTAATCTAAAGACAGATGTGTTAGGATATGGCTGGAGTAACTAATTGTCCTCATTTTGAAAGTCTAGCTTGTGAGATTCCTAAGTAGCTAAAGAATTGATTGATCATTAGGTTAAATTGGCAAAGGATCATACGCAAGCTGTATATTTCTCTTGCAGATGTTTTTTCCAAATGTGAATTCTGAAGTCAGGCCAGTTGTTGCTGTAGTGGTTTGGCACTGGGAGCTGGAGCATCTACAGCAGCTGTTGCTGGGGCCTCTGTTTGTGTCTGAGGGAGATCCTGCTGTACCGTTTTCTTTCTTGCCTGTTTGGCTTAATTTCCCAAATGGACTTGATGCTCTGAGCATCTTCTGACTTGCCACCTGGAGGCTGTGTAACTCTCTGTAAAGGTTCCATTAGTGTCAAAAGAAAGTAATATGTTCACTTGATCATTTGAATCACTTGGCATCACCCCTACCTTCCATGTCCCCTTGTCCTTAAATCTCTTCTCCAGATCCATCCCAAGGCACCTAAATTATTTAGTAAACTGGCTTCCTGCCAAATGTACTTATTTTTGATTTAGTTAAGTTCAGCCAAACTATTCACTTGGGGGCAAGGAAGTGGAGAGAAGGAAGGGAAACTTTCTGCTGTTTCTGAAGGTATATTTAAGGATATTCATGGAAAGTGGTATTATGACCTTACTGTACCCAGTTTCTTAGAGACTAAGGTCTGCTTTATGTTGAATGTCTCTCAGTTGAAAGGGAAAGAAAATGAACTTTATAAAGGCTTTTTAAATAATACCACTTTTTTTTTTATCTTTAACATGATAGATAAATATTGGGTGTATTGAGTCTTCACAACCAGTCAGTACATTTTGTGTTGGGCCTATAAAGTAAGCTTTTGCAGATATGGTTGCTGGATATTACCTGTTTATTTCCAAACTTAGACCTTAACATATTTGGTCCTTAATCTTATACTGCTCATCAGCTTGTAGCTGTCCTTTATAGTTTCCAATCTAAATGTTTATGGCATCATTACTTACATACATTACATAATATTCAGTGAAAATTCTCTTTATTACCTCAGGAAAATCTGCTAAGAAATTTTCCATTGGTCAGATCATGATAATAATGGTTTAAAAATTAATGTGAACCTTTTACAGTTAAGTACAGTGGTTTTAAAGATGGGAAAAGTGCATCACTATATCCATCGTGTACCTAATTAAAAAATTATTTAATATGGGAGTCTTTGGACTTGCCTACTCACCTGCACACACTTCTAGTCTTATTCTTTTCATTGCGATTGACAGCTTGGCCTTTCAGCTTTGGGAGGATGCTGTTTGAATAGACTTTATATTGTTTGAAAGGCCTTGTTAACACTTAAAAAAAGAAAACACACTAACAGAAGACTATCTCTAAACCTCTTCAAAGAAACAAAACTCAAAACTTGACAGCGTATTTAAAAAGCATATTTGTCTAGAGCTTCTTTTATAAGTTTGTTCAGCCTTTACTGTGGGTCTTCATGGTAGCTTTTTGAAAGAAGCAGAAGCAGAAGCATGACAGTCAGAGGTCATGTAGTCTTTTACTTTAAAGCAGGATCATCCAGCTCAGGCTGAATTTCAACAATATGTTAAATTTCTGACTTGTAGACATGGGTATTTTTTCTTACTGAATCCACTACTGTATTCCCTTTTAGACATCTTTCTTATGGAAAAGAAGATGGGAGAAAAATAAGCCTGTACCCAGTGAAAAGGAAAATAATACCTAACATTTATCGAATACTTATTACGTGGTAGACACTATTCTAAGTACTTTTTACTTGTACTGGTTTATTTAATTTTTCTAACAACTCTGTGAGATACAGTTCCTCTTTATAATCTCATTTTATAGATGAGGAAACAGGCACAGAGAAGTTAAGTAACTTACCCAAAGTCTTGTAGGTAATAGGTGGCACAGCTGGGATCCAAACCTCGGCAGTTCAACTCCGCTGTCTACTATGCTGAATTGTCACTTAAAGTAGAAAGTTATATAATTATTTTAATTTGGTTTCAATCATTGTAAATGTGACATTCTTTCGCTGGGTAGAAATTTGGTTTCTGTTTCTAAGATCTCCACTGACGTGTTGAAGTGCATGTGGTCCATTACTGATGCTTCTCTGTTTCCAGTTTACCTTTAGAATCTCTGTAATAGTTCTAACTGCTTGGAGGAGAAAAGAATGGAACGTGAAAAACAGTGTTACATGGATTTTAGTTGCTTGGTTAATTGCTTTACAGCCCACTGGAGGCTTAAAGCTTGGCAAGAGAGACATGCATTTCCTTGGTAGAATTCTCTCTGTTTACGAATCTGAAATTTCCCATAATGAACTACATTAATTTAATTCTGTCCTGAACATTCTCTTTTTGCCTAGCATGTTTCGCCAAGGGATGCATGACTTGAAAGTCTGGCCTAACGTGGAAGCAGATGGATCAGAACCCACAAAAACTCCTGGCAGAACAAGCAGTACTCTCTCAGAAGATCAGATGAGCCGCCTTGCCAAGGTAAAAAAGAAGCTATTGGAACAGGTGGAAGGCTCTGAATGATGTCTGTTGTAGTATAAATTGACATTATGAATTCTGTCAGATTACTTTTTAATTTAAATTTAATCTTTTAATAATAGTTTTATTGAAATATAATTCACATACCATAAAGTTCACCCTTGGAAAGTGTACAGTTTAATGGTTTTTTAGTGAATTCACAAAGTTGTACGATCATTACCACTATTTACTTTTAGACCATTTTTATCAAAAATATAACCATGTACTCATTAGCAGTCATTCCCCATTCCCTCCTTCTTCCAGCCCCTGTCAACCACTCATCCACTTTTTATCTCTGTAGATATTCCAATTCTGGACATTTCACGTAAAGAGAATCATAATACATGGCCTTTTGTGTCTGTAATTCCAACAGATTTGAAAATGTAGAGCTTTTGGTGATACCTTCAAGATGACCACCTACTTTTTTGGTAGCATTGTCTTAAAGATGCAAGTGCTAGAGATTCTTATATTGTTTGAAAGTGAAAATTTTTTATATTAGCCTGTCTAAATTACCCTCACTCCACCCCACCTCTCTTTTTGTAAATTGACTGAGTTATTACCTCTTTTTTTCAAAATTGTGTTAATGAAGTGTTTTCATTTAATGTTTGTATTTCTAAGTTCAATTCTATTCTCAAATCACAGTAGTGTAACTTATGTTGTGAATATCTGTTCAAAAAGTACTATGTTAGATACTGTTTAAAGGTGCTTTTACAATACTTTTATTAAGAGACTTTCTTTTAATTTTTACATGTAATTTTCCTTTGTGATCTTATTAGTTACGGATGACTCTATTACGTCTGGAGAAAGTTTTAATGCCAAGCACTTTACAACTTTTTTGTTTTAGATTCCATATATATATGTGTTAGCATACAGTATTTGTTTTTCTCTTTCTGACTTACTTCACTCTGTATGACAGACTCTAGGTCCATCCACTTCACTACAAATAACTCAATTTTGTTTCCTTTTATGGCTGAGTAATATTCCATTGTATATATGTGTCACGTCTTCTTTATCCATTCATCTGTCAGTGGACACTTAGGGTGCTCCCATGTCCTGGCTATTGTAAATAGTGTTTTAATGACCGTTGTGGAACATGACTCTTATTGAATTATGGTTTTCTCAGGGTATATGCCCAGTAGTGGGATTGCTGGGTCATATGGTAGTTCTGTTTTTAGTTTTCTAAGGAACCTCCATACTGTTCTCCATAGTGGCTGTATCAGTTTACATTCCCACCAACAGTGCAAGAGGGTTCCCTTTTCTCCACACTCTGTTCGGCATTTATTGTTCATAGATTTTTTTTTTTTTTTTTTTTTTTTTTGCGGTGCGCAGGCCTCTCACTGTTGTGGCCTCTCCCGTTGCGGGGCACAGGCTCCGGATGCACAGGCTCAGTGGCCATGGCTCATGGGCCCAGCTGCTCCACGGCATGTGGGATCTTCCCGTACTGGGGCATGAACCTGTGTCCCCTGCATCGGCAGGCAGACTCTCAACCACTGTGCCACCAGGGAAGCCCCTGTTTCTAGATTTTTTGATGATGGCCATTCTGACTGGTGTGAGGTGATACCTCATTATAGTTTTGATTGCATTTCTCTGATGGTTAGTGATGATGAGCATCCTTTCATGTGTTTGTTGGCAGTCTGATATCTTCTTTGGAGAAATGTCTATTTAGGTCTTCTGACCATTTTTGGATTGGGTTGTTTGTTTTTTGGATATTGAGCTGCTTGAGCTGCTTGTAAGGTTTGGAGATTAATCCTTTGTCACTTGCTGCATTTGCAAATATTTTCTCCCATTCATAGTGTTGTCTTTTTGTCTTGTTTATGGTTTCTTTTGGTGTGCAAAAGCTTTGAAGTTTCATTAGGTCCCATTTGTTTATTTTTATTTCTATTTCTTTAGGAGGTGGGTCAAAAAGGATTTTGCTTTGATTTATGTCATGGAGTGTTCTGCCTGTGTTTTCCTCTAAGACTTTGATAGTTTCTGGTCTTACATTTAGGTCTTTAATCCATTTTGAGTTTATTTTTGTGTATGGTGTTAAGGAGTGTTCTAATTTCATTCTTTTAGATGTAGCTGTCATTTTCCTGGCACCACTTATTGAAGAGGCTGTCTTTTCTCCATTGTATTTTTTTTGCCTCCTTTATCAAAAATAAGGTGACCATATGTGTGTGGGTTTATCTCTGGACTTTCTATCCTGTTCTATTGATCTGTATTTCTGTTTTTCTGCCACTACAATACTGTCTTGATTACTGTAGCTTCATAGTATAGTCTGAAGTCACGGAGCCTGATTCCCCCAGCTCCGTTTTTCTTTCTCAAGATTGTTTGGGCTGTTCAGGGTCTTTTGTTTTTCAACACAAATTGTGAAATTTTTTGTTCTAGTTCTATGAAAAATGCCATTGGCAGTTTGATAGGTATTGCATTGAATCTGTAGATTGCTTTGGGTAATATAGTCATTTTCACAATGTTGATTCTTCCAATCCAAGAACATGGTATACCTCTCCATCTGTTTGTATCATCTTTAATTTCTTTCATCAGTGTCTTATAGTTTTCTGCATACAAATCTTTTGTCTCCTTAGGTAAGTTTATTCCTAGGTATTTTATTCTTTTTGTTGAAATAGTAAATGGGACTGTTTCCTTAATTTCGCTTTCAGAGTTTTCATCATTAGTGTGTAGGAATACAAGAGATATCTGTGCATTAATTTTGTATCCTGCTACTTTACCAAATTCAGTGATTAGCTCTAGTAGTTTTCTGGTAGCATCTTTAGGATTCTCTATGTATAGTATCATGTCATCTGCAAACAGTGGCAGCTTTACTTCTTCTTTTCCGATTTGCATTCCTTTTATTTCTTTTTCTAATCTGATTGCTGTGGCTAAAACTTCTAAAACTATGTTGAATAAGAGTGGTGAGAGTGGGCAGCCTTGTCTTGTTCAGGATTTTAGTGGAAATGGTTTCAGTTTTTCACCATTGAGAAGGATGTTGGCTGTGGGTTTGTCATATATGGCCTTTATTATGTTGAGGTAAGTTCCCTCTGTGCCTGCTTTCTGGAGAGTTTTTATCAAAAATGGGTGTTGAATTTAGTTGAAAGCTTTTTCTGCATCTATTGAGATTATCATATGGTTTTTATCCTTCAGGTTGTTAATGTGGTGTATCACATTGATTTGCATGTATTGAAGAATCCTTGCATTTCTGGGATAAACCCCACTTGATCATGGTGTATAATCCCTTTAATGTGCCTTTGGATTCTGTTTGCTCGTATTTTATTGAAGATTTTTGCATCGATGGTCATCAGTGATATTGGTCTGTACTTTTCTTTTTTTGTAATATCTTTGTCTGGTGTTGGTATCAGGGTGATGGTGGCTACCTAGAATGAGTTTGAGAGTGTTCCTCCCTCTGCTATATTTTGGAAGAGTTTGAGAAGGATAGGTGTTGGTTCTTCTCTAAATGTTTGATAGAATTCGCCTGTGAAGCCATCTGGTCCTTGGCCTTTGTTGGAAGATTTTTAATCACAGTTTCAATTTCAGTGCTTGTGTATAGTCTGTTTATATTTTCTCTTTCTTCCTGGTTCAGTCTCAGAAGTTTGTGCGTTTCTAAGAATTTATCCATTGCTTCCAGGTTGTCCATTTTATTGGCATATAGTTACTTGTAGTAATCTCCCTTGATCCTTTGTGTTTCTGCAGTGTCAGTTGTTACTTCTCTTTTTCATTTCTAATTCTGTTGATCTGAGTCTTCTCCTTTTATTCTTGATGAGTCTGTCTAATGGTTAATCAATCTTGTTTATCTTCTCCAAAAACCAGCTTTTAGTTTTATTCATATTTTTTATAGTTTTCTTCATTTCTTTTTCATTTATTTCTGATCTGATCTTTATGATTTCTTTCCTTCTGCTAACTTTGGGGTTTTTTGTTCTTCTTTGTCTAATTGCTTTAGTTGTAAGATTAGGTTGTTTGAGGTTTTTCTTGCTTCTTGAGGTAGGATTGTAATGCTATAAACTTCCCTCTTAAAACTGCTTTTGCTGCATCCCGTAGGTTTTGGGCCATCATGTTTTCAGTCATTTGTTTCTAGGTATTTTTTGATTTCCTCAGTTATCTCTTGATTATTTAGTAGCATATTGTTTAGCCTCCATGTGTTTGTATTTTTACAGTTTTTTTCCTGTAATTGATATCTAGTCTCATAGCATTGTGTTTGGAAAAGATACTTGATACAATTTCAATTTTCTTAAAATTACCAAGGCTTGATTTTTGACCGAAGATATGATCTATCCTGGAGAATGTTCCATGAGCACTGAGAAGAAAGAGTATTCTGTTGTTTTTGAATGGAATGTCCTATAAATGTCAATTAAGTCCATCTTGTTTAATGTATAATTTAAAGCTTGTGTTTCCTTATTTATTTTCATTTTGGATGATCTGTCCATTCGTGAAAGTTGGGTGTTAAATTCCCCTACTATGGTTGTGTTACTGTCAATTTCCCCTTTTATGGCTGTTAGCATTTGCCTTATGTATTGAGGTGCTCCTATGTTGGGTGCATAAATATTTACAATTGTTACATCTTTGTCTTGGCTGGATCCCTTGATCATTATGTAGTGTCCTTCTTTGTCTCTTGTGGTAGTCTATAAAGTCTATTTTGTCTGATACGAGAATTGTTACTCCAGCTTTCTTTTGATTTCCATTTGCATGGAGTATTTTTCCATCCCCTCACTTTCAGTCTGTATGTGTCCCTTGGTCTGAAGTGGGTCTCTTGTAGACAGCATATGTATGGGTCTTGTTTTTGTATCTATTCAGGCAGTCTGTGTCTTTTGGTTGGAGCATTTAATCCATTTACATTTAAGGTAATTGTCAATATGTATGTTCCTATTACCATTTTCTTAATTGTTTTGGGTTTGTTATTGTAGGTCTTTTCCTTCTGTTGTGTTTCCTGCCTAGAGAAGTTCCTGTAGCATTTGTTGTAAAGCTGGTTTGGTGATGCTGAATTCACTTAGCTT